GATCAGTCACTCATTGACTCTTCTCTTGAATTAATTATAGATATGACACAAACAGGTATTTTTCCAAGTCATTTGAACACCTCTACTTTTTATTCACATAAGTTCATAAATGAAAATAAGAGAACCCATCTTTAAAATAAAATGAAATGGAGTTTACATCCTACTTTTCTGCATGTTACATTCATTGATGACCACCTGTCTTTTAGTATAACAAAAATATTTCCATAAATATCATAATCGGACGGAGTTCCTTGCTGTACCTTATTGTTGTAGTGAAGCCATGCAATTTGCAATTTAGCCAATTTTTCCAGGAGAGCAGTAATAGCATTCTCCTTTTATTATTCAATATTCATTCATTCATTCATTTATTCTGCAGGATTCACTCATTCAATCATATAACATGTTTATATTCTATTTTACCAAATGTTAAATGTTTCTCCAACACAATTAACCATTGTTTTTATTGGATCTCTTTATATTATTCCATTAACAAGTTGAAATTATAGAATCAATTCACCAAAGACTAAAATAAATATTAACTACTTATAAAAATAATAATGTTGTTTTTTAAAAAAAGGCTTATTTACTTAAAATCGTGAATTTCCTGTCAGACCTGCACTTGACGACTGAATTAAGCGTGAGAAAATAATTGATAAAAACCAATATCGCGATCGACTGGCTAGCTGATCAATACTAGTGTGATCAAATCAACATCTATCAAATTTGGTTATATACCAGCATACATTTATATTGATAGAGGTGATATAGGGTCAGACAATGATTGCAGTGGTAAATCATGAAACAGTTTTTAAGTAATTAAGTGGTTAATAGAAAGGCTAATATAACAAATTTATTGATAACTTATCTGATTTTCTCAACATAATGGACAACTTTGGAGGATTGTTTATTTTCTGAGTAGCCATTCCTAAAATCTTGTTTGATAGAGTAAAGAGAATTCAACTGTACAATCGTTGGTGTTTTGTCTTGTCATGAGGGTGTTTAAACGTAAGATGTCTGATCCCACTTCTCTATTTAGTTTAAAATTTACAAAATACACTGGTTCTTGTTAAATGGACATGTAATTATAGATAATCAAAAACACAAGAAGCATGAAGAAGTCAATGGCAATGTTTTATTTAAAGGAATGCTATGACTTAAAATGAACATAAAATTTACAATTGGCCAATAAGAGCATATATTTATCTCTAGATATCATAAATAACACAACAGTATTATTATATAATCCGATAAACTTAGTAATTATCCATAAATATATGCAATTAACTATTCGTTGTTTTATGAATTTTCCAAATATCCAGATTTTCCAGGGATTCTGTTGTAACTTTATGACACCAGGTAAGTTCACTGATGAATATATACTCATATTGACCATTCTTGAGAACTTCCAATTTTATGTTCGTTCTAAGACGTAGTATCACTTTAAGGAAGTCAGTGTTATTTGTTTTGAATCAACCCATAATCTATTGTCAACACTGAAATCATTTGATGCTATTGCCTAACAAACAGATATCATTTTATTCATACCATATAACACAGCAGAATTCAAATCATATTTATACTCAATGAACTTGTACAACACAGTAGAAAAATCTCCTTATCATTGACATGAATCTGGAATTTGGCAGATCATTGTTAACTTACTGTACATTATAAACGATCTTAAAGACAAATTTGACAGATCAGTGACCCAGTTGGCAAAACCTTGCATTCCAAACTTAGTATCATGATTATATTATTACTGACAATTTTCACACATCACTAACTAGATGTGGAACCAACATTACTAACTAGATGTGGAACCAACATCACTAACTAGATGTGGAACCAACATTACTAACTAGATGTGGAACCAACATCACTAACTAGATGTGGAACCAACATCACTAACTAGATGTGGAACCAACATCACTAATAGATGTGGAACCAACATCACTAACTAGATGTGGAACCAACATCACTAACTAGATGTGGAACCAGAGAATATATCACAAAAAAAAAAGAAATCTGTAAGAAGGAGAACAAAACTATAAAAGATAGCTTGCCAGGCAAGGTAACATATGCCACTGGCAGCTGTCAGAAATGATTGAACATGAGTTGTACAATATAGCTAATAGAGTGAAACGTCAAGTCAGACACGGTACTTCGGTGAAAATTTATCCGATCATCACGAAAATCGATAGGGATCATCTTCATAATGACATTGACACACAAAATCAAAATCAAAAGAATCTGTAAAGAATTGTAACCTGAGCACAAACTAAATGTGAACGGACGGACGGACCGACAGGGTGATTAAAATATATGCCCATCTTATGTGTGGGCGGGGAGGCTAGCTACATTCAGGGACACACTTTTTCCTCAGTTCTTCTATAACTAACATCTAGTCTTCAAATGTCTCCAACTATTTCCATTATTTTTTTCATACATATCTAATATTGATGTTGAAATTACATACAAATATTTTTCCCTAACATTTATGATATTCATCACATGGCCTTTCCTACCTTCACCTCTATTTCTTCCCCCCACCCCTATTTCAAGCTGCTCAGATGTCCATTCCCTACACAAGTAGCTGATGGCTAATATTGATGTTGAAGAATTAATGGATTCTATTATATTCATCATGTGAGCACTCTCACTGACTCTCTGTACATCCCTCACCCTATATCTACCTGCTCACCACATTCCCTATAGCTGATGGCTAATATCGATGTTGAAGAATTCATACAAATATTTTTACACTAACATCAATGGCTTCTATGATATTTATTGATTATTGTAGAGTCTTGTCAATGTTAAATGTACACAATGAGTACTGTTCTTCACCAGAATATCCAGGTTTTCTATAGGAATACCATACAGTACCAGGCTATTGTGATATATGGAAAAATGAACACAAATATTGCATTGTAGCGAATCTGAACATGACATGAGCTTTTCTTGCTGCTGAAATGTGTAGAGAATATTATTATGAGGTATATCTATTCTCCAAAATGGCTTCTGAGTTGACAAGTTGAAGATTGGCACCAGGTATTCTGAGAGGGAGAGCAAACCCTGCCTTAGAAGTTATAGTTAGTTCTAGAATTCTAGTCTTGGCCCTCACTGACCATCTTTTGATATAGGAATTGTTATGTGTTAAATTATCCAGTCTGTAGTAAATGCACACTAACCAACCATGACTAGAGAGTCTCTCTAGTAGCCTCTTGCAAAGCTACTGCCATATCCACCTTTTGGCTCTGTCAAAACAAATGATCGAGATCACTGCACAATAGCCAAGTCTGGGTGATTTTTGATCAAACATGCCAGAAATTCTCTGATCACACCATGTTTTATTACAGGCCTGTCGTGGACACTAGCCAATCATTCACATGAGGGTGTCTTCAGTGGCATCATTCTTGCTTCTGATGCAATATCTCAGTCACAATAAATGATTGGCATGATCACAAACTGCCTGGACGAATTTCGATCAAAAATGCAAAAATGTCATGAAAAATTGCTCACTAGCCAATTTTTTAAATTGGGATATCATGGGCAGCGAAAATATATATCATCCAGTATGTTCCGATCTCCTTTTCCCATACTGACCTAATTACAAGCAGGTAATGATGTGATGTGACCTAATTCACAGTAATTATTAATTATCAGCCTTAACGACATAAATAATTCACAGTCCAGTCATTTATTGTCATTATCTATCTTATGGTCAAGCTGTCATCAATAATAACAACTGTTTTAAATAGTCAAGTTTATAAAGACACAATTATTAACATCATTACGATTAGAGAGAAGTGACAGATGCTGTGCTAAATGACAGTAAGGGATTCAAAGGATGGTGGTTGTACATGACAAGTTAACGTCCGCTTCCAGCATAAGCTGATAGCGCAGACTAGGATTCATAAGAGGGTGTATACACAGCTTTCATTTGCATCATTTTCCTGTTATTTATGAAAAATTGGCCAGATTATACACTTTCTATGATCTTGCTATATCAAATCAAATATTTATATGAATAGTTATTGAATCAATTGGCAGTTTTGAAACTACTCATTTCGTAGAAACTATGATATAACACTCCATTACAACTCTGAAAATAATGCCATAATGTTGGAATAAAGTTGCCATTTGATTCAATTCAATAATGTTATTAGATCAATAAACAGATAATACAATTATTGCAGCCTGTGATATGACAAGGGAATTATAGTATAATATTACATTGAAACCTGATGTACTCCTCATTATATATATACATTGTTTCACATTATAATACTTCTATCATATACCCAATCATTATGATGAATAAGATTTGAAAGTATATGGACACCCTACCATGTAATAAGAACAATTTTTTCAAAACATGGGCAATACAATCAAGTATAGTTTTTCTCAATAATGTACTATTTGTGTTAAGAAGTTTTTCAGAACACTTGAGCCACAGGCAATGTTGATACTTGTTGAATATTATCAGTAACATTCAAATGTTTTATCCACTATTAACAGCCTACTATAAACTTGTACTTCTCCATTATATTATTATACAATGTTCTCCACTGTGTTAACAGTAAAACTTTTAATATTTCATGTGATAAGCTAATCTGAAAATCTTTCATAAATTTTATATAAACTAGTTGAGGGTTTTATAGGTACTGCATCAAGGATATCTGTTTATAATGATTATTTGATATCTAAAGCAACTGATGAACTATACAAATAATATTCAGTTGAAATGTGTTGAGTATATCAAATGTTAAACAATTTAAGGATCTCTCTTGTTTACAATTTCCTTTTATTCATATGCAATTATCTATGATTGGATTTTCCTAAACATAACCATAATTTATGGAAAGCTTTCAATAAATTTCAAGGTTTCATAGCACAATGCATGAGTGTATTATTCAGTGTAATCCATTTAAAATAATGTGTTTGTTGTATTAGTACTGAATGGTTGAATGAAGATACAAAATAAAGGAATACTATACCTGTTTGCCCCTTGCCCAGGGTCTTTTCCAGTCTGTAGGGGCCCACATACAGCTCCTCTCTATGCGTATGAGACATCTTACTCATTTAAAATCCTTAAATTATTCCTTTTTAGGGACTGGGAAACAATAATCCAAAACTGACACATAAATAAATATACTACTTTACTCCTAAACTACGGCTGAAGGGAACTACACACAGATCAATAGAAGAACGCCATGTTTCTCAACTGATGCGAAACGTCTCCGAATAGATTGACGATTCTTGGACGTTTGAAAGCACTGCGATAAAGTACGCCTGCATTCGCTTGATTAATCCAAAACGTATATATGTTTCGCACCTATTACCGTCATATTCCGTCCACGGACTGAAAGATTACTTGCCGGATACCGTCTCCAAAGAAACGTCAGTCAGTTTGGCTTCACATGAATCATCAAGGTGCGAAATCTACGCCATCTAGCGTCCTGGAAGTTAAAATGGTATCGCACCAAGGTAGATAATTCATTAATGCTGGAACCGCATACTACAGACGAATATTAATTTGTATTTTTTTTTTTAACATATCCTTGAATATGGCATTTAAGGAAGTGTAGAATAATGTTCAAGAAAGAATCACAGTAGGCCTGAATGCATTTATTAAGTATACTAACACTTTATTTGTGATAATATTTTCACTAGCATTCTAACCATACAAATTAGTAGGTCCATTTGATATTATACTATTTTGTTCAAATATCAAATTTTTAACATTTTTGCTCTCTTGTAAACATCTTTTGTTTTTCACCATTTTATATCATATCATCTTAATGTTTCTATTTGTTTATATGTTATTTGTAGTAGTTAGTAGATTCCAGGGAAGATTACCTCTGGTAACTGGATTTAAATAAAGATTTGATAGTACATTGTATATAAATGCAGTTGATATTGGTCTATTCTGCACATCTTTATAAACCCCCAAAATTGATATTCCAATAGCTATATACTGTATTGTGTTGTTTACCAGTGTGATATTGTATTGTATTCACCAAATTCACTACTCAAGTTTTTATACAATTTATTTCTCAGTTTTTACTAACTCCTGTCAAGCCTGATATATGCAGATAATACATGTTCTTGATAGCAATGAACATAAGTCAAATTCAAAATTTGTTTCTATCAATCTAATTTCTTTCAAATTCTGTAGTCTGTGTTATCTAGATGCCAACATTTTGCTGGTCTAAATAGTTCTTTTTGTACAGTTAGAAAACTTTGGAAGATTAACTCCCATTTCCAAAGAAGCTGTCCTGATGCAGAAACATGAGTCAGCAGCATGATAATGAACTCTATTCATTTAGGAGCATCTATTAAGTAATTCTCTATAAACTCTGAGACTGGACTGACTTCTTTCCCATCTGAATCATCCCCTTTAACATTAATACTCCAAAAAAAAAAAAAAAAACTAGATGAAAATATTAAATTTATTATGTATGATAATATGAACTCAGATGTATTAAATACATTAGAATTTAATTGCATCATTTTCTTTCAATAAACAACATTTATAATATACTAATAAATTCTTCTAAAATATAGAAATTATATAAAAATCTTACACCAATGGTAATGAATCCATTTCATGGACAAGATCAGTAGCCAGTTTCTCAAAAACTTCTAAGGATAACAGCTCTTTTGAGAGTCCACATAGCTATCAATGTATTTAAGGTACATAAATCACAAAGTGTAAAGTTTTGTGACACCCTTGCTGAACATTATTCCACTTATGAAACAACCAAGATAGTGTATATAACCATGAGGAAAACTAATATCAAGACAAACCCCTAAAACTGGCTGTGGTGGTTACTTTCAGAATAACAGGAGGTGTCAGATAACCCTTATGAGATTTTTACTTTTTTTCCAGCCTGAAGAACTTGTCCCAAAATATACAGTACACATGAGTTCAAAATTTGAAATTATTTATCAAATTTATTTACTGTCTGATTACCTTTGATGCTAAATCATATTCTACTGATTTTCATGTGAATTGGAACTTCACTTTCACGAATAGCAAGTATAATCTTAAAATGACTTTGTTGTGAACCAAACATCATCGAAATTATCATTTTAATATTTGTTTTTTACAGAAAACAATTTTCAGTCAAACGTGTTCAAACATTTTATTGTGCAATTTTCCTCAGAGTAATTATGTATTTTTTTTAAAGTAAAATTATTTCAAATCAACATACCTTTATTCTAAGACTATCCTTGCTAATTTGTGTTAAAAATAATCAGAAAAATATAATTTATCCATTAAACTAATCAGACAGTAAAAAAAATAGACTGAACAAATAAATTCTAAAAAACATTAACAACAAAGACCATATAACAAAATATAAAACACTGTTAAACATAGAGCATATTTCTTTCTTTCTATACACAGTTATTTCCCTTTTTAATGAATTTACAACCTATCATAATATTGTTTGTGCTTGAACAAATTTCATTAGTTTTGAACATTATTTATAGTTTGTAAACTAAGAACAGAATCTTTTCACCTCCAGAATGAAAAAAAGAATTTTCACACTTATTGATTTCAAATAAACATCGATAAGAAAACTGAAATGTTCAATGACATTTTACGGTTCCATCTTGGCAGTTAGAATTCATCTATCTCAGCCACAGAGCTACAAACTGGCATTTGGTCACACTGACAACATTATCAGTTCACTAAGGAAACTAGTCTGTCATTAACTAACAGAGTTATTGCCCTACAATTACAATTACTACCACACAATGTCAGGGCAATGATTGTTCTTGATGATTATGAAACACTGATGAAGCAACTAGCACATTATTACACAAAATTACATCTGTCAGGAAACATATATATATATATATATATACTCAAGCTTACAGCTCATGAAATGAAATTACATCAAGATGAACTGCTTTTACCATTCTGTGTTGTCTGCAAAAGAAAAACATAATTCATCTATTTTGTAATGAAAGAGAATTCTGTTTTCAAAATGAATGTCAATATAATAGACAGAAAGAATTGTAACACAAAATCCTTGAAGAGTTTTTAGCTCAAATAAAAAAATTGAATAATTTTGTAAAACTATTTGATTGTTTATTTATTATTCATATGTTTGAAGATAGGTGCAGGTTTCAATCCTCACATAGATGAAAGTTGAAAGGGCTGACATGGAAAAAGCGTAAAGTTGTTTTGATGGGACAATAAACCAAGAGTGCACCTTTAAACTTCCAAAAAACATGCCGTCATTTATAAAAAGAAATAGGGAACCAACCTGTGATGAAGGGATGGGAGATGAAGATGATGAATTTGATGTTGAAGCTGAAGTACCGTCATTGTCCTGAAAAATATCACATACAAAACATTAAATTTGTTGTCTAATTCAGCAATAATTTTTGTTATCTCCCTTGACAAAATAAGAACATTAAATTCATATTGTTATTTTAAAGGGGTTGTAAAGAGGTTTTCTAAATATTGGGACGATTACCACAAGGTGTCTGTCAATTAAGACTATCACATAAGCTTGTAATAACATCAAATTATCTGATTATCCTGTGGACTTTCCTGGTGTCATAACTATGAACAGAATCCCTCTATTTAATCCAAAAATTTATAAAACTAAGAAATTATAATCCATAAAAGTAATTTTTTAAATACGCTTAAAAACTGTTTTCTATTAAATTTGTGCATTTTACAAGGATTCCGTTGTATAGCTATGTCAACTGATGAAAATATACACTTTTATTAGCCAATTTTAAAAATCAATTTCAAGGGAAAAAAAATATAATTTGTTAACTTCGTTCATAATAAGAGATATGTCTGCCATTAAGAATGCAATTCAAACAGAAAATGAATGAAACATAAGGAGGCAGTATGCAAAATTTTCATTAAAACATTGTAAATGTAACTAAATTTAGTTTTCTATCCCATAGCAAAAAACAAAACAAACTTAAAAAGCTTACGTAAGCCTTTAGAATAGTTTTGGCGTTAAAAAATTAATGACACAATTTCGTTAAAACTGTTAGATAACTTAAGAAACACATTTGTTTTCATAAATTTGAGCAAAAAAATTTTCTGGCTTATGAAAAAACATAATGCCCCTTTAAAAATTCATCAATCACAAACCTTTGTCTCTGAACTATTTTGTCCCAACTGCATGAAAGAATCCATTAGGTTCAATTTGGTAGCGTTCGATTCAGCTGGTGAATACAAACTAATCATAATTGGGTCACTAAAAAATGGATGTTCGCGATCACGATATTTCTTTTTTTCTGATGATGTTTGTTTTGTATTTTCAGTTTTTGCTATGGGAGATGTTGCTGATTTCTTAATTTCACTAGAATTTTCTAGTGGTTTTGAATTTTTCACAAGTTCACATTTGGAATTGTCTGAAAGTCTAATGTCAGGACTTTCTTCCAACGTAGGCATTTCCTCATTTTCATCACTGATGTCATCATACTCTTGTGATAATTCTGGCATTTCTGAATCTTTAATTGGTTCTAAAGTGGGCATGTCTGTATCCATGGTTTCCAGATCTTGGTCCAAATTTGGTGCGGATGTGTTCGTGTCAACAGTTTCAAGCTCCTCTGAATCGTCCATATCCTCTGGCACAGAGTTATTTTGTTTTTGTACATCTTGATCAGAATTTTCGTTTGCCCTATCAGTTGTAATCTCAGAATTATCATCACTAACTATGCTCATTTCACTATGTTCAGAAACCAGACCACTATTATTTTGAGATTTGGAATTTGAATTATCTCCCTTGACTTTTGATTTTGATTTCTTTTCTTTGTCTTTCACTTTCGATTTTTTCTCCTTAGACTCAGTCTCTGATTTACTTTTTTCTTTTTTACGTATGGAACCCGATTTGGTTATTTCTTTCACTAAATCCTTAATTAAAGATTCAGCCCTCTTTTGCTCTTCAGGGTCAATCTCCATTTCCGGAATGTCCTCACCCTCATTCTCGCATTCCAGATCTATTTCAGTTTCAACAGCCGAATCAGTCATTGTTACTGGTTCTTTTTCCTCAGAATTTACCCTAGTAACTGTCTCCTCAGTAACAGTTTCAACTTGGTCGACATTAGGAGGAATTTCAACAGATGTCACAGTTTTAGCAGTTTTATTGATCACTGAAATAATTCTAGGTTTAGATTTAGTGGGTGTGTCAGACAGAACTTTTGGGCGTGTCGCTTTAGGGGCATTGACAGAAAATTCATGAGGTTTGTCCCTCAGAGCTGAAGTGCTACTAGTTTTTAGATAGGAACAAGGGCCTCGAGTTGGGACCGCAGATGCTGGACTTGTTTTTGGTTTCCTTGGAATTGGTTTAGTAATGGGAGATAACCCATCATCATCCATGTCAAAATCACAAACATATTTCTGAGGAGTGGATTCAGACTTCAATTTCTTTATTTTCTGTTGCATTGTGGTTAACACAGGTTTTGAGGGTGATTTATCTGGGCTTGTACTTGGACTATCAGAGGTTGAATTGGTTTCCTGGGTTTCATTTTCCGTTTCTATTGCACTTTCTGAATTCTCAGTTTCCACATTATATGACACAGTTGTCACTCTATGTTCTTCTGACATCCCAGGTTCTCCCACTGGAGGCAGTTTACGAATTGACAGTTTCTCACTAAATGATACTCTTTTTCTTTTCTTGGGGGGTTCATCACATTCAACCTCTGGAGTTTCCTCAGAAATTTTATGTTTAATTTTAGTGAAAGGAGTTGAATCAAATGTGCCAAATTTTTTAAGAATTCCTTTAGAAGGAGTGTTATTATCACTGTCAGATGGAGTACTAGGTGTTGCACTATTATTTTCCTTTTCTGCACGTGAAATCGTCAGTTTTAACTTATCTGGACTTTGTTGAACAGGATGCCAAAGTCTTTTAAGCGGTATATCATCATCATCATCAAAATCAGAGTCAGTTCCCTTTACTGATTCAACTTTCAGTTTCGATTTCTTTTTTTTATTGGATTTTTCATTTGTGTCCAAGCCATTTGCGTGATGTACGCCACGAATTATCACACCATTGAATGTTTTATCCTTTTTCTTCCTACCCTCTTTGTCAGAAACTTTCTTTTTAATTTTTGTCATCTCACCCAAAGTTTCACCCTCACGAATTTTCTTTTCCAAATTATCTAATGAAAGTTTTTCATCAGGATTTTTAGATTGCTTGACTTTTTTCTTTGTTGGGTCAGATTTTGCCTTTTGCTTATTCGTTGCTTCAACGCCCTTTTTAAAAGATTCATAATCTTCTGATTGTAGCCCAGCACTAGAATTCTCATCCAACTCATTTGATGGGTCAACAGGAAAATTTTCATTCAAATCAGAAGTTTCCATTGGTTGTTCACTGCTATTTGATTGGTCCAATTCTGATGCTTCTTCAGTGGTTTCTTTTGCTGTTTGATCTTTTTGTTTGACGGACTTTGGAGAATCTTTAACTTTCTTTTTATTTGGATCTTTGGGTCGTTTTACTGGAGTGGACTGCATCTGAGCTTTCTTATAAATATCAACAGCTACTTCTGCAGCTTTTTCAAGCAGTTCTGTTTCAGGACATGGTTCAGCTTTTTTCTCTGTTTCAGACTTCTTGGGAGTAATAGCTTCTGAAGGAACATCAGCTTTCCTGGCTGGCACTTCTGCTTGTGCTTGAACTGTGGAAGCCTCATTCCCTGTTGTGGGTTTAGTTTGAGGAGTTACAGCTGTTGAAGTTTCAGCAGGAGAGACTGGTGTTTGTGGAGTCGCTGGTGCTGCTGGTGCTGCAGGTGCTCCTGGTTTTGGAACAGTTTTAAACTGAAGCTTTAATGTCTTCCCTTCAGGTCCCTTAATTTCCACAAAACCACCATTTTCTTGTGCAATTTTGCGATATTTGACCATATCTTCTTGAGATATATGCCACACATTTTTCTTAATGGCTGGATTTTCAGCTGATATAAGAGTTTCAACTTTCGGAGATCCTACTTCTACAGGTTTGGTAACTGGTTTGAGATCGGGTTTTGAAGGTTTGCACACATTAGCAGGATCAACTTTTCGCTTGAATCTATTAGCCAAGGGATCATTGGAGTCGAACACAGGTGTATCTGGTCTGGTTGGAGGATACAATGCCAAGGCCGGTAATTTTGTGTATTTTTTCTCTTGCTGGGTTGCTTTGTATGCTTCGATCTCTTTGTCTACTTCTTGAAACACTGTATCTTTGCTGACTTTCCTGATTGGCATCATATGAACCATGTAGTTGCCATGTTTAAATGTGCCAGAACTTTTTGTTGGTGGAACTTTCCTCATATCCTGAAATGTGAAAAACCAAAGTTAATTTTTATGTGGACATACATCTGAGATAGCAGAACATAGTATTTCATTTGACTTTACATCAAACTATTAAATTTGATGACTTTTCAAGAGCACAAGACAAAATTTATGTCCAACAAATTAAAATATTTGCCAATTTTAAGAAATTTCATTGTACTCGTAATTCCCAATGAAGATTATTAGTTCTGTAGACTGTGAAAAGAGCTACTGCAGAGTTAAACCAAGTTGTAGAGTGGTATCAATTGTTCCAGATGGCTGAGTATGAACTATCTTGAAGGTGACTCCATGACTGTAAGTACTGTAATAAAGCTCAAGGCAAACTTACATTCATTACTTCTTTTTCATACAAAGCATGGTATCCTTCAACGTAAGGTCGCTTCTTTTTAACTGGTTTAGTCTTGGGTTCTCTTACAATCGGTTCAAAAACTTGATCTTTAGCATCTTCTTGTTGTTCTTCTTTAGGCATAAGTCTCTTGTAGACTTTCTTCAGGTGAGCTCGCAGTGATTCAGCCATATATGCATAATCTGAAAGTAAAATCATTGATTTAAATTACAAATGTTAATTAATATCTGGGGACACGTTTCAAAAATAAACAAGAAGAGTAATAAGACTTTAAGGTAAACTGAAGATATGTAAAGCAATATAGAAATACTGTATACATTAATCCTCCATTTACTTCAAATATAAGTTGATTGTTTGTGTTTATGATTATCTCTAGAGATAAGCAAGCGCCATTAAACAGGTGCCCCTTGAAATCTAATCATAACTTACCACTGTCAGTTCCATTATAGAGTATACAGTTATCAAACATAAGGTGAAGGTCATTAATAAAATCATCCGTTGTTTTATAGTCTCGTTCATTAATCTTACTTTCTATCCTCATCAGATCCATCGGGTTCTGAAAATAAAACATAAGGATATGATTCAATATGTTGAAATCATGAGTTAACTAAACCAATCACAAGTGGAATCATGTCATAGAAGAAAAGTTCAACAATACCCTTCTGCATAAACAGAGACTTTCGGCATATCTAGAAAATGCATGAGGGTACGCCAAACATGACATGTTATATTTCTTTTTTTACAAATGCTTACCTTTACAACTTCAAAGTATCCTGGAGCAAACGTTTCTTCCACTGGTTCCCAAAATAACCAGGAATCAGGATGGTTCTTTACACTGTCAAGAACTACAAGTATAAAATACAGTGTCATTAAATGGATTTATTTCCCCTGAATAATGAATTATGAGTAAAACCTTAATATTTTGAATTTTGGGTGAATTTTCACTGAATAGCGAGAAACTCATTGAAAAGAAATAATGGTTTTAGGCTCCCTTTTGCAACTTGAAATGAAAAAAATTATTAAAAATGTCTTACTTTTATACATAGTGACTGTAACTTCATTATCAACTATCAGATTCCTGAAAATAATTTATTAATTAATTAATTACACTAATTATCTTACAGATCTCTTTATCTATATCCCCAGCCAGTTTTTTTTATTAATATTAAATTCTACCAAGAAACCAACATGCATTCCTTGAAATATTCATTTTGTCTCTTTTTCTTTTAAATTTAGTTATTCTAGCATACAGAATTTTAAATTCCTAATATGGAAGTTACATACTTGACTTTGACTTCTGGTTCTGGCGGGGGACTATCCAAGTTCCGTAACTCTTCTGGTATTTCTATACCTTCTGCTAACATTCTGGCTCTCTCTTCTCGTTTCTTGATTCTATTGGCTCTCTCTGAAATATCAAACATCCAGCCATAAAGAAACAACATTTCACTTTTAGTTCAGCTCAGTTAATCCAAAGTTTCCAACAGATTAGTGTTGAATTTCAACAAATTTTGATGAAGAAATCTAATATGAAGATAGCTTTTTTTACCTTCTCTGACCCTTTCTCGTTCCTCTCTAGCTCGTTTCTGATCTTCAATCCTAGCTTGTCTGATTCTCTCCATTCTTCTTTCTTCTTCCTGTAATTTCAACTTCTCTTCTTCTGCATCGTGGGCAGCTTTAACCTTTTCCTGATAAAATAAATAATCTTTAGTAAATCAAGGGCAATAACTCAACATCTGTATTAGATTGAGTCATTATACTACAGAAATTCCCAAAAATAATTTATATTTAGATATTAGAATTATGAAATCAAGTGTGCCATATTTGACAAGATGACCACGTTCTTTTAGCATATTCTAGAGAACCAGAGTAAGTCATATTATTGACAGACCTGGAAAGACCACTGTAAGAAGATAAGCAATAAGATACTCAGAACCTCAGTTTATATCCTTGCCATATATGGATATTTATTACTTTATGTGATTCTGTAGTGTAAAGAGATTCTGTTTTGAAGCTTTAACAAAAAATTTTCATACTTATGCCAAAAAGTTGTCAATGATAAATTTATTATTTGCAGTATAATTATCTAACTAAGGAAATCCTGGGTATACATCTATAATACAGATAAAACTTACCAATTCTTCCTGCTCAATACGTTTAACTTCCAATCTACAAGATTGACGTCTTGGAGCATTCTGAATTTCTCGTCTAGCTAATTCTTTCTCCTGAAATACACCAATATTCAATCTATGAAGGTTTGCATGTTGATCACTTACAATCTGAATTTTATCTGGTATAATATTATTATTCATGTAATGGTTTAAAAGTTAAATAGTTTATGTTTATGAAGTATGAAATTGAGTTTATTTGCAACTTTTATATATGTATGTGGTACAGTATGTGTCACCTATTTTGTATCAAGGATTAAAAGTAATATTTAATGGAAAGTTATTTTACTTCAAGAGGCACATAAAAAAAACTTGAGATATGATAACTCAGTATCTGGATTTTAAATCTACATGAATATTGGATATATTTAAATGGTTATTTGACATGTGATCAGGCTTTTGCAATCTTATCTGTATGTTATATTTCATGTTTTGGGATTTTCTGTTATCTGACAAGATATTTGCTAACTTTGTATTTTGTGGGTTTTCTTATTATTTCCAACCCCATAATCTGATAAAATACCCATGAAACATTCTTAATAATGTTTCAAAATGTCAACATCTAAAATAACAGGTAGCAACTCAAATATTCATGTTGACTGATGTTTTTCAAAAGAAATCTACCTATGTTGTTGTAATAGAAAATGAAGAATGTGATATTTGACCTGACATTTCTAATTCTGTCACTGTCACTAGATGTCAACAGTTTACAAACACTAGTGATATCACTACCCTACCCTTATCACTCAGTTCAACAGGTACTCTGGCATATCAATAGAGACAATCAAATCAATAAGTTACAGACAGAGATGTCAACATTGCCATTTAGACTCTCAATAGTTCAACTTTGACCTCTCAATTGATCAACTTTGACCTGTGATTATTTGACCCTATTGTTCGAGGGTTTCTTGAGCTCTTCATATTGTATACCAAATTGTGGATAAATTACTATCTAGAAATTGCAATAACAATAAATAGCTTTTTGAGAGAAGTTTATTTTCTGTAGGAATTTTAGTTGCTCATTGGACAAAAGTCTGTGAATTGAAGTGGAGGTGCTGACAGTTATTTATTGTGTTCATATGATATTTGAAGTCGTTCTTAAGGCTCAAGAAGACAACAATTCTCAGTTATATTTATTTGACATGTATTAAACATTTGGTTATTTAGTAAAATCGTGACACTAGAATCACTAGTAGATGATGTTAATTTGTTAAATCTGGATTTCATTCTCTTTAAGTTCTGTGAATTGTTCCCAAGATACATATTTATTGATTTTTTTATAAATGACAATGGTATGGTTTCTCATAATCTAACAGATTAGGAATTCATCTACTCAAACATAATTGCCTCCAGCTAAGATCCATTCAATATCTATTTTAATCAATCTCATGTAGAATGAATTAAAGTTTTAAAAGATTTCTGGTGCCCTAAGGACATCATTTCATATTTAAAATATTCTTGAAATAAATATTCCTGATATGTTTTTAAATGAGAATTTCTGAGTCTAATTTCTCAAGTAATTTGCAAGTCTCATCTCTGTTCCACAAAATATCTAATGATAATTTTCTCATATAAAATACCACACTTACGACTAATTATTATCATAAGATTTTTTTATGGTATAAATTTAATAATATTTTGAATATCACATAAACATTTCTTCTTTTAAATAATTATTCATAATAAAACTGATACATTGAGCTCAGTTATCATTTAACATGTATTCATGAAAGACTATCTCAAGCTCTATTTTCTGAAACTGAAACATATAATCAATTAACACATTAATTTTATGAGGTAAAACAGAGATTCTCAACAAATTTACACCTTAAAAATAACATTAATAATATTTCAACAGTTCAAAAATTTATCCATTAAGATTTGCAAAAAACATCAAAGTTTGGAGAGTTTCATTAAAACAGGATTTTTCACCGGGGTCAGAAAAATTCAACTTTAAAACTCTATTTCCTGGTACTTGAAAGAAAAAAGTTCAAAGTTTAGAAATTTAAGACGAGAGTTTAACACAGGGTTGAATGTTAGGTCATTTATTGTTGATTTCAGACCTCACTGACCATTGTCCTAGCGGTCATTTTATTCAAACAATGTTGTCTGAATTAAAGATTTATTATCCAGTCGGAGTAGGGGTGTCACTATTTTCATTGTTTAGCGGCATTCCTTGACCGTTTTCCTCACAGCTCTATTCATAGTAGGCGTGAAAGGAATGAGAATAGTTTCTTTGATTTAGAAACCGACCCTCAATGAATGGTCATTTATTTCAACATTGTCCATCATCAACTTTTTTCAGTTTTGTTGACTTTAGAAAGGCCTTTGATTACTAAGATGATTGATTTTTTGTTTACTTGCGTCGATGGATTTCAAATTGAACCAATCCTTAACTTTGATGTAAAGAAATTTAAATTGACAAATAGTCTTGATAGGAACGGCAACCTTTTAGAAATATAAACCCATTTCAATAATCTTTACTTTAACGCTTTAAAATCTCATTTTAAGAAATTTAATTCACATCCAGTTGATGGTAGCAGATTTTTTTGGTCCATTTGAAAGAGGATGAAAATGCAATTAATTTTAAATCATAAACCAATATTTGATTTATAGATATTTAAGATTAAAATTTGTGATTTATTTTGTAATTTAGTAACAAAGTGATCAAGGAACAATAGATGATAAAATAAGAATTAAAAACCGGATTGAATAAAGACCCATGAAATTTAATTACAGAAATTATATGAATGAATGATGATAATTCAACTACCATAATAGGTAATAATCAGAACACTCAAATCAGAAATTCTGAATTTATTGAAAATTTTGATATTTTTAATCATAAATTATTTCTTTGTGACTTGACTAGGTCAGTGGTCTTTTTAGACTATGTGTTTTTATTATCATCTTATACTTTGTTCTTGGTATTCTTCATTTCCATCCATTACGTTAAAAAGTTAGGAACTGAAACATGTCTGAGAGAGTGGTGCTGAGATAAAATGTCCCTGATTGTACAACCAATGTCAGAAAAGAGAATCTTTTTTTTACTTACAAGCTTCAGCAACTTTACTTCAGTCAGAATCTAATTATCAGCCTCGAGCCTAATGAGATAATTAATTTCCAATTAATAAATACAAACAATCAGATAGATTAAACAACAAATACCTAGGTTTACTCTTCATCACATCTTCAAGTTTCAAACCCTCAAGCACTGTAATAATCTTATGACCTTCTCTTATGACCTTGAAATCAAATTACACCTCCAGGGAGGATTTAACTCTTTTCAATTGAAATTTCTCACAGATTAGACTCTGGGATTTGATTTTTTGTGGATTAAAAAATAAAAATCTTTGGTAATTATCACATTTCAGAGTAAATTAATTTGGTGAAAATATATATAGCGTGGATTTTTGAGGGAATCTCAGATGTACTTTAACCAGTTTGAGAACCTGTATAGAAATATACATATATTAATATAATAAATAATAATACTAAAAGAAAACATAAGATTCTTTCAGAAATATTCAAAAATTTAAAAAGAAAATTCAAGTCAGTCCTGTCTTAATCAAAACTGACTGCCTCAGTTAATTTAAGAAATTTTAAAAATCATAAATTTTTCTAAATTCTGTAAAGAATATTGTGAATATAAATAGTAATAAAATAACCAAATTTCAGATT